CTATGTTTAGTCATGATTATTATAAACAGTGGTTTTACATTTAATTACATACGGTTATTTGTATCATGTTGTATGTTTAGAATAAATTATTTTGTAACATCTAATTTATGTATATGAAGTATATTGATTACACACCAACATTATTTAATCACACTTTCATTCATCTTTTTAAATAAATTCAACATTAATTAAATAATTTCTCGTTTTACACGGTTTTAGTTTTATTTTAATTTATTTTGTTAGGCTTTTAACTACCTACTATTAAAATTAATAATTAAAATACAAAGTATAATAACCTTTTTAGGTATCAATCAGTTTTAGAACACCCTGTAAATTTTGGTTTATTATAGTTTTATTTCGTTTTGCAATAGTGTGTAAATATGAAATGTTTGTCCTTGCATTTAGTATTTTTTGAAAAAAAGGATTTTCAACATTCGACTATTTCAAAATAATAATTGACGTGCGAGGTTGAAACCACAAGTCATTAATGACGTTTGTAAAGTTCCCACAGGAACAGTCGCGATTTAATTAATTGGAATCTAAAAATATTTATTCGAAACTTCGTCTGATACTTTTGCCAAGACTTGGTATCGTTTACATTTCTTTAAATGTATTTTTTAACTTATAGATTATATCCAGACTATGTGTGGTGCGTAATAAACGGACCTGACATTTTAATGTTTGGTTCCTATCACGCTCATATCTTGTAGGCTAAAGTGTTGTACAACACTTATGTACATAATTGTTGTACAACACTTTAGCCTTATGCACAAAACTTTTATGTTAATGACTATTTATTCATTGATTACATTTTTAGATATTTATATGGCAGAAGTGTTTGTGTGAAGTTTTAATGAATAAATTGTTTTTTTTTGAAATTAATATTTTATATATAATGTAAATAAATATTTTATCTAAATTTTAATAAAAAAATAATGGTACAAAAAGTTGTCTATATTGAAAGTTAAGTAAACAATGATAGATGATTAAATTTTTGGAAATTAGGTAGTTTTTGACTTTAATCAAGAACTACAAATGAATTATGTATTACAAAATGTCGCAAACGTCAAATTTATCTGAAAAAGACTGTTATCGTAAAAAATTGACCATAGTATTTTTTTGCATGAATTGTTTGAGACTTAGAAGAAAAGCTTAACCCCTAATTTGCGGGATCCTACCCCCTGCGTATTAAGGTGAATACTTAATTCTTTTGTTTTTATTTTTACATAAAAAAAATTGCTATGGTCAGTTTTTTATAGATCGACTAAAAATTATATATTCTTTTTTTACAACCCAAATAATATTTGTACCATCTATATCTGATCTATTTTTTCACTAAAATACATATACTATATTATTGCTAAACTGTTTAGTGAATATTAACAAAAAATTATGATAATGTTTAATGTGTTTAACCAAAATTATAATTTATAAATTATAATTATCAATCTGTTCTCGTCTAGAAGATCCGTCAACATTGGATAACGAAAATGTGATTATTTAGGTATATTTGGTATTATGTATTTGGTCAGTACTTTAGTTTTTTAAATAAATTATTAAAAAAACACATTTTAAGTTATTATAATTTTTTTTTTAATAAATAGACAATCCTTTTATTTTCTATGGTTTTCTCCCTTTGTTTTCTGCTTTATTTTAAGTTCCCATAACAATTTTTTAATTTTTTCTTTGTAGTGGACCTCATGCGTTTTCACAACTAATTTTTAAATTTAAAATAACATGCATATAGAACTGTCACTGCCACTGTTAAAAGTAAAAAGCGTCACCATAGAAACCAAATATTAACAACCCGCAATGTTTTCGCGTTTAAATCCTATTTTGTACGTTTTTTAAATTACGTTATTGTCTTAAATATTTATGTTTATTAACTCCCATCGCATAATATTGTTATTTTATCGTGAATAATGATAAACATTATAAATTCCCAACAACTCATTATTCACGTTGTTGGGCATCAGTGATTGGCCGATTTTAATATTCACTGTGAATTGAACCAATCTGGTTTTAAATTGGTAGGCGACTATAATAACATTTAAAATTGTTAAAAACTGAGTTTAACCATCTGACAGATGTCATATTTTATTTAGTAATTTTTGAAAATCATTTAATTATTTACTCATTAATATATAAAGATAAAGTATAGTATTACACTAGATATTATGCGCATTATTCACTCGGATGATTTTAGTCTTGTCTGGCGACTTATCCTCGTGAATAATAGCCAGCATTATCTCTCGGATAATAATATACCAATATAGTGCCTTTTTTATTAAAATAAAAAATAATTATAAAATTAATTAAAAAATTGTGTTTTTTAAATTAAATGTAATAAAATGGCAAAATAAATTTTGTTTTTGCACAAAATTAAATGCCCAAACCTCCTTGAAGGAATCTGATTATTGTATTTTGCAAACAAAAATAAATAACTAATAAATATGTCATCGAAACTCTGTATTTCAGACTTTTAGATAAATTCAAATTAATTTTAAAATTTGCTTTAAAACCAGTTTCACAATAAGTGACGATTATTTTTAAAAGAAAAAACTCAGCATCTGGAATTATTAGCCAATATATTTTTCTGATAAATCAAATTTTCAGAAACAAACAATTATTATTTTTTATTATTTGCTTTCACAACAAATTAAAATTAATCATAAGTTTTTTTTCACAATATTATAAACAATAATTTTTTATATTTTTATTACATTCACATTTACACTTATTTCATGATTAAAAATAATGCAACAATAATTAATGAATAATTGTTAATGATAAATAGACATGGCAAATTGTTCTATGGATTGCAATATTTCGACCTTTTCAAACCAAAAAAATAATACTAATAATTCTTATTAAGGGGTCCTGTGCAAAAACCAAGTATTTTCAAACAATGAAATTTAACAGAACGTAGGAAAACTTTCTGTAGTAGGCATAGAATTTGAATTAATTTGTTTCTTGGTATAACATAATTTTGCAATAATTATTGAAATTAATGATGAGCTAAAATCATCAACACCGATTATTTTTAGTACAGCAATCGCTACGTTATTTTTTTGCTTAACATTGTTTATTTTGCAATATTACGACCTTTGCAAAACAGGAAACTCTGTTTTTATTTTTATTTATTTACCTGCAAATGCAACTAAGCTACGTTATAATAATTTATTGAATCAATAAAGTCTGACTCAATATTTTATCTTCTATGAGCATTAGTTGGCCGCAGTCCTGCAACCAGTTTATTAAATGAACTGGTTCTTGGGAAAATGAAATATTTTCTTAAATGCAATATTTATAGGTTTGTTTTGAAGTTTAATAAATACCTAATTATAACGTTTATTTATGCGCTACCATTTTATAACTATAAAACCCGTTTTTTCTGGTCCCGAATACAAATCTGCGCCGTTTGACCAAACTACCGGACGTATCATAGACGTAATTAAATATTATTTATAATATTTTTTCTACTCCTATTGCATATTATTGACATTATTGTTTTTTTTCGTAAATAATGGTAACCAATATAACTGCCCTGTTTAACAACGTGAATAATAAACTCAATATTTACTTTGTTAGGCATCGGTGATGGCTGATTTCAATATTCACTGTTATTTAAACCAATCGGGTTTTAAATTGGAAAAAAGTAAGGTTAACAGATGTCAGATTTTTTATATGTACGAGGGGCGACTATAATGATTTCTAAAATCGGGAGAAAGTGAGGTTATACTACATTTTGTTAATAATAAAAATAACTTAATTGGAGTAGAAAAATTATCCCCATATCTAAGGGGGTCAATTGTGACATTCGAAATCCCGGCGCATTCGCCATTTTTGCAACACAATTTATTCACTACTCCGAGTAGTCTACTCGTTTAAATTTAAAATAGTACATAAGAAAAATTCGCACACTGGCATAAATTTAAAAAAAAAGTGGGACAAACTTGCACAATAGTTCAAAATTAAAAAATAGTGGGAAAAATTCGCACAGTACGGTACTGTCAGTACCATAAATTTAAAAAAGAAATGTAAACAACATGTTTTGTCATTCAGTTGGAATTATTAAGTGGAATTACTTTCCTGAATAATATTCGTAATTCGTATGAATTTGTATAGATATATTATATTTATTTTATTAGTGTTAAAATACATAAATCCAATTAAACTACATTAATACAATTAAATTACATATGTAAATAAAATTAAATTACCCAAATACAATTAAGTTACATTACCAATATTTAAAATTATATTTTAAGATTATTTTTATGAAGAAAGCCTTGAATAGGAATTTTTATTATTTAACAAAGAAAACAATCCAGTATTGTGCCAAACAAATAGCTAAGAATTACCTTAATTTTTGTCATTTTTTTATTCGAAAACAATACCACCAAAAGCTGATTTTAATTTAATTATTTTCATAATTTTGTGGAACATAATAAAAATTTTAATTTGGTAATTTCAATTTATTAAGATCATTTCAAAAATTTAATTTTAATAATGTGCTATAATATTGCGATTATGCGTGACTTACGACCCCCATGGATGACCCCATGAAAAGAAAAAGTCTATTACAAATTAAATTGTTTATAATATTTTTGCATATTTTTCGTATAGATCTATAATTTTTTGTAAAAATGTAAATTTTAATGTAAATTTACTTTAAAGTAATGAACTAAAATTATATAATATATAATTTTAGTTATATTATGTAAAAATATACATGTAAAAATATACATGTAACCCAAGTAGGTCAAACAGTCTTGCAGATGTTTATATAGTTTAAAGATAGTTAATAACCTCTTTTTAAACGTGTTACTTATATTTTTCTTTAAACAATAAAATATTAATTACAGAACTGTAACTTTACAATAGGAAATGATTTATAATCATGATATGGCTTGTTTTTTATTTTTCCACATTTTAAGCCAAAATTTACTCCGGCACGATATGAACGACTTTAACAGATAGTTTTCGATTTGTTTCAGGAACTGGAACTTTTGGCAGAGTTCTTTTGTGCAAAAACAAAACCTCAGACGAATACGGTGCCATGAAAGTATTGTGTTTGGCAGACGTCATAAGACTGAAACAGGTGGAGCACGTCAAAAACGAGAAACACATTTTACAGGAGATCAGGCATCCATTTATTGTTAATTTGTACGTATACAGTATTTTAGTTTTTTTTACTTTATCGCATTTTTAATAGTTATCTATAGCATATACAACACCATGGTGTTATATCATGCGATAGGAAAATCTATTATTATTATTATATATTATTATTATAGAAAATAAATAATACTACCAACCGGTTGCAACCGAGCGAATTTTTGAGGATTTGCTTAACCCTAAAAAATGGTCCCAAATGACGTACAAAAAAAATAATGTGACCATAATTTTCTTAAACATTTCAAAATAATAAAAGTCTATTTAAAAATGGACTTTACAATAATTATATATAGTGAAAGTCATTTTCTGCATTTAATTTAAAGAGCTAAAAATTAAAGTATTTGAATATTAATATTTAACAATTGTTAAAGATTTTGTTTTTTTGTTTATTTAGTTTTTATTAGAGTTATTACAGTTTTTCATTAATGTTTACAACCTTCTTTGCAACAAAATGCTTTAATTAGATATTTGTAATGATAAATTGAAATAAATAATTATAAAAATTATTTAGCGCATTTCTAAAAAATTAAAAGATTAAAATGTTTTTTGTTTTAAACTGCTGAATATAATTGTTTAAGAGCTATCCAATGAGGTATCAGAAAGAGGATGTTGTCATTTAAAAAAATTAAAATGGGGTGGCTACAGCCCCAGGGGTTGCTTATTGAAGCTCATTTTTGTGATCATACTGATCCCCCCACATTTCCTAGAAGCTATCTCAAGAATTTTTTTATTTATATTTTAGGTCCAGACTTTGCTTGTTTTTAAATTGACACTGTATAGATAACTGTAATTTGTGATGCATTTATACTCGTATATAAAGGAAATACATGTATACTGCAGTATTTAAAGTATATTTCCTTATTTTTATTTAGCTTCGCACGTTTTCTTCCCAACGACGCGTCGTTGTAGCCGAAAAACTTCTAGTACGTGGCTTAATTTGTTAAGGTTCATTCGTAGAAATAAAATCAGTATTATTTCTATTGGTTTAGTTAAAAGAAAATTTGATAATTGGTTGAATTTCGTAAAGTTTTATAAATATTTAAAAACATTAGCGATTAAGGCCTATGTCTAAGTCTAGGTCTAGTTTAAACTTAAATAGCATAAATCAAAATTTAATATCCGGATTCTCGCTGTAATGCATGATTAAGTAAAATTAATTAAATTAAATAAAGTCTTTTAAGGTAGCAAAATAAAATCAAATGTCTATTATAAAAACAAGTAAATTGCAAATGATAAATTATTACTTTTTTACACGCCTTTAATCAAATTTAATTATCAATTAATGTTATTTATGTTTTTTAACAAATTTTTGCTTAAATTAAGACTTCAAAATGATGATCCTTATGAGAAATCTGACCTATTTTTCTTTATACTAAAAATTTAAATATACCAATCTATGTATACATCTATCTAATTTAATTATTATTAAGTTTGACCAGCTAAAAATAGTTTGTTTAGGACCAAATCAGGAAAAAATAGTCACGGTATATTATTAAAAAACAAAATCAATATAAAATGATACACATGTTTAAAAAACAATTTTTTATAATTTTTTATAAATTTAGGTTTATTACAATACAAATAAAACACTTTCATTCTTAATTAATTTTTATTTTCTTAAAATACTTAAATGTTTAATGTTGTTTATGACCTTTTACACGTGCATCGAATTAAATTATTCGAAAATATTATCGAAAATTTGTAAGCCAATTTTTCCAAAGCCGCACAAATAAAAAACAATCGGTTACGTCAAAGGTTGGAAAATTTTGCCAAAGCGTTGTTTGATAATAAACTGTTTTTTCACTGTGTCAAAATGCCACTTCCCATTTAACAGAAATGTGAACATTCTACTAAATTTAGGAACCCGTTTATTTTTTTAAGTAAAAATACAGATCATTTAAACAAGCTCTAGCAGATTAAAAAATCTGATATTCAACAGGTGGCCCATGTAACAAGTTAAAAGGAGAGTGAATTTGGCAAGGGAACCATCAACATACTTTTTGTTGCAGACGCACAATTTGTTTTATCTAAGTTGTTTTTAAAGTTTATTTTAAATCAATAGTATGTACCTACTTTATTTATTTTAAATTTCAACAGCTCACGCAATGCTAATTGTGTTTGATAAATAATTTATAGGCATGGAAAAGTTTTGCTTTTATCGTAACAAAGTAAACTTACGTATAAAAGGTTTATTTTAAATAGCCTATTGTAAAAATTTATGACCAAGTCATTCAATAATATAAATAACGACAATGTCGGTTATACTTAAGAAAATGTTTAAAAATTAAATTTGAAAAAAACAACGGAACTTAAAATATAAAAAAAAATTAAAATCGTAAATATTTATTATTTCTGTTTTGGAAAAATGTAAGTTTTACATGTTAATATGCACATTTATTTACATGTTTATCCTATTCCTTCGCTACTATATTTTGAGTTACCATCACCATGTTTTGTTTTTATAATGTGTGTCATAATTTATTTAGTAAGTTTAATACATCGTTGTATTCCTTAATTTCTTTCTATCTAACCATGTTAAATTCCAATATGGCCACCAAAAAAAGGTGGTGGTAACTAAAATTCGAGTAGACAAAAAAATTAAATGAAAATGTAGATAAATGTATACGTTTCCATGAAAACTTACTTTTTCAAAAGTTTTAGGAATAACGAAGTTATAACAGTTTTCGGTTAAGACAGGTTTGTTTTTTTTTTAAATTATTTGAAAACCGTAGATTTGTTTAAATTTTAAAAAGCTTATAATAATGCAAGTAAATTAACCACTATATATAACGTATTATAATATATGTTATTTTTTTCCGATATAAAGTAAAAATTCCTTATGCCAAAATAAATATTGATAGAGTAAAAATGTTCTCTTAATTTCGGCTTTACCTTAACGAGTTTAAATGAGACCTTTAGAATTAAAAAAGGGCATTTTACTACAATATTAATTAACACACCTTTTTGCTTATTACGGCAGGAAAGGCCTCTAAGAGAACATATCCGCTTAGGGGCGGATCCAGGAGCTTCCTGTGGGCACTTGCACAAGTAATGATAAAAATATGATCTTTAAAATGAGTATTTACGTAATTACCCTTCTACATAAATCAAATATTTTCCATTAAAATAACACGTATATTTTTATAAAAATTATATATAAAATGGTTTTTAATATCATATATTAATAATATGTCTTTCTGCAATCCATGCATATATTTTTTTATATAAATCACTGTCATTGTTATCGCAATTAAATTGCACAGTAAAATCCTAGAAACTAAACCATTGATGATATATCATCTATGTTAAAAAAATCCTTCATAAAGCAAATTAGGGGTTATGTTTTCTAAAAAATAAAAATCGATAAGCATAATTTTTTTTACATTATTTAAGATATGAAACAAATTTATATATTAAATAAACTACAAATTATCTTCTTTTTTTTTAATTTTTAATCTTTTATTAATAGGGTGTATAGCTAAAGTAATTAGTTTCTAGACCTAACAAAGATGTAATTAAAAAAATAGTATTTTGCCAAGCAAAATATTTGCAGCAAAAAATGGTTACATGGGAAACAGGAAGAAATTATGAAAAAAACATTTCCTGTGTTTTATTTGTAAACTTAAACTAGAAAATTTAAAACCTTGGTTAAACCTTGAAATTAAGAGTTGGGATTAATTTTTTATTTCAACATGCCGACTATACTTCGTTCGACAGCTGTTGCTGACGCAACGAAACCAGTGGCTGCCCATCAAATGCATAAGAATTATGTTAGTTTTTATGTTTTTTTTTTGAAAAACATTAGCACTAATGCTAAATTAATAATGAAAAAACTCTCTAAGGATAACAACCTATTACATGACACCCTATATATAGTTGTGCGGCACAACTTGTGCCAAACATTGACCTTTTCGTGTTTTAATTTTATCCTGATTGACTATAGATCATAGCCACAGGTCTTACGAATAAAACGATGTTGTATTTTTTGATTTTATGTTATAACTTATAACTTATAAGCAAACAGGACAATTTTCGTAATTTTTTTCGACGTTTTAGTTCCAAAAATCCCTTTAAATGAAATTTGCAAATATATATATATATATATATATACGAGGTGTGTTCAGAAAATAACGGGAATTGTTAAATTTCGCGGGTTCGGAGGGTCCGGTTGTCATAAAATTTTCTTTATTATGTTGGTATACATGCCCCCGAAGTATGATAAAAACTTTAGCTGTTTTCATCGTTTACTTTGTCTGTGGCAGCCGCTAAGGTTAGACGTGTTTTATGAGCTCGGCGATTTTCGTTCGTTAAAAGAAATGGATCAAAGAAATTTGTATCCAATTTTGCTTAAAAAATTAAATAAATTCTGTGAAATGTTAACAAAGGCCTATAGTGAGTCTGCTATAAGTAAAACAAGAGTTTACACGTGGTATAAGAGTTTCCAAGATGGCCGTGAAGACGTTGAAGATGACGAACGCCCAAGCACATTAACAACCGATTTTTATATGTAAAAAGTGGAAGAAATGGTTATAAACCATCAGAGAAGTCGCTGATGATGTTGGTATATCGATTGGCTCTTCTCATGAATTTTTTTCGAATGTTTTGGGTACGAAACGCGTGGCAGCTAAATTTGTTCCAAAATTGTTAAATTTTGAACAAAATTTTTGTCCAAAAACAATACTGTAATGATGCCCCAGCCTCCATATTAATTGCAATACAAATCCCACTTAGATATTTGTTTGTAGAATATTTTAAAAGATTGTCTTAAATTAGAATCAATTAATCTTAAAAATTAACGACCTTGATTTGCGTCGATACTTTTTGATTTTAGATGCCAAATTTTTTAGTCTGCTTTGGCAAAACTTACTAATTAGCTGTAGTTCATTAATTTTGTACTAATTATTATTTATAATTTCATACTTAAAACCCTCGAAAATGGTTTATTTTTGCTCCACAATCTTTTGTTTAAACGGAACGATAGAAAAATA